TTTGCATCTGCGCAGACTCGATATGATACCGCATTTACATGTGGCCTGCATGCAAGCAGGAACTTGGCGGCAAAAACAATTCCGCACCAAGGCGATGAGAAGCGTGCCTTGGCTGGGGCTGGCTTTTGCACCTGTGCGGGCGAAAACGTGAGCTCGTTCGCACGCAAGGACGCACGGACGGGCATGGGAAAGCTGTCAAAACAGTGCACAACTTTTTGACGTTTAAAAAATAATAATAATAACCTGCGCAGACTGCCACTGAACATTGACGTGCGCGCTCGTGTTTCATGGGCGGTTAGTTAGGAGTCCAAAATCAAAACAAGCCGAATGGTTGACAGCTCGAGTCTCAAAATATTTCAATTAAAGCATTTCAAATTTAACTCGGCAATACAATGTCCACCGCACGACACCGCGCGGCATGGGTTGGTCTTCATCCGGCAACGGATTGACAGCTTGGCGATACATGTCCACAAACAATTTAGAATACGGTGTGATTTTTTTATTAAATCAAAAAATACAATTTACAAACAAGGCCTCATATTCTTAGATTTTTTCGGTAAAGTCACGTAGGTAAAAAAATTAAATTAATAAAAGTCAAATTTAAATAACGACGTTTCGGAGGCAACACAAGCTTCCGTCTTCAGGTGGAACCGTCACAGCACGACTGCTGTATCAAGTAAATGAGAGATTCCAAGAGATACTACCCCGTATATATACTGGTTGAGGGGGGGGGGGGATGGGCCAGGACAGGCCCCCTTTTTTTGTCCTGGCCCATCCCCCCCCTCAACCAGTATATATACGGGGTTGTATCTCTTGGAATCTCTCATTTACTTGATACAGCAAGCGTGCTGTGACGGTTCCACCTGAAGACGGAAGCTTGTGTTGCCTCCGAAACGTCGTGATTTTTATTTTATTTTATTTTACTTTTATTAATTTAAATTTTTTACCTACGTGACTTTACCGAAAAAACCTAAGAATATGAATACTTGCAGTCACAAAAGCTTCAATCTAGAAACAAGGCCTCCTTTAAACGAGATAATAATATTGGCCCATCTGCACTCCTGGCTCATGAAACTCCCAACACCATCTGTGGCGCACGATGGAACCAGAGCAGTGGCGGGCGGCTCCGCCGTGCGTCACGTTAGACCCACGGCGGCACACGCGGGGCTGGCTCCCCTTCTGCGTGCGCCCAAAGCCTTTCTTATTTAGGCCGAACACGCGTGTGCCGGCCGGAAGGCAGAGCGAGCCGTGCGGGAGGTGAGGGGGTGGGGGGGAAGTGGAAATGAAACAATGCGCACGGCCTCTGTCGAACAAAGCGAGGAAGCAACCCTGGAGGCTCCTCGACCCCCACTGGTGATAAGCACATTTCCTTAGGCCAGCGACCTCGGCGCGAACGGGCGGAAACTCAAATCCATCCCACGCAAGGCGTTCGCCAGATTGCCAGGCAGCGGCGTGGATACCTCTGCACGCAAACGCAGGCTGAAGGACACTCCACTGTGCGCGTGCGGTGGACAACTTTTGCGGAATGGAACGTACACTGACCCGACCGTCCGCTGTTACTCGCTCCCCGGAAACATCGCTGAATAATAATTCGGGACGATTGGTCGTCCTGCCATCCCTAGAGCACAAGGCTAACATGGAGGTGCTATGTTTCACAGACGATTACAGTCTGCCAGTAAGGGGGAGGGGAGGGGGGGCGATTTTGCTGAATCTGTGATGTAACCGAATTAAGCAATACGCGAATATTTTTGGAAAGTTGCTAAGTTTGAATTGACTGCGCCAATATGTCACTATTCCCGCGTGCACCATCTCTATCCAGGAGAAGCCTCGTCTCCTCCAGCTGGGCCGCAATCAGGATTGGGATTTTTTTTCTTCCAAGCTCCCTTTCAAGGACGTGTTCTATGGGGAACGTGTACGTCGAGCCCACGTGCCTCTACGCTCACCACGGGCACGGGGTGGTGCTCGTGAACATTCCACATTTCTATTTAGGGAACCACTGTGGGTGGGAGAAAAAAAATCTGTGGGAAGTCAACAAAGTGTCCTATGGGTAGACTCTGGCCCCTTCCATATAAATAGGGAATTTAAACCCAGAGATACGTGTCGCCCTATGCTCGCTTTGAATGGGGCAGCACTCTAACTTTGATATAACAGGGCTTTGTTATTTATCAGCCTATGACCAAATAGTCTGGGATGCACCTGTTATCATCACATCTCAGCAGCTAAGCCGGAGGTTAAGCCTGGATAGTAGTGATTAGATGAGTGGCCACCGTGCATAGCAGGTGATAAAGGCTGTGGGACTAAGTGGTGGGCAGTCGAGCATAGGGCAAGATATATTGGTGTTCTGTGCTTCCCCCACCTCTGTTTCCCGCCCTCACCAACCCCTGCTGACCAGCGTGGTGAAGTATGGTTAAATAGCCCCCACGACGTGCACGGCATATGGAGACCCTCATCCGGCAGTGGATTCACAAGGGGGCCGTGCATGTACTTTGTTAGTTCATATAAACACTGTGCTAATGTTCCGCAGGTTCAGCAGGAAAAGCCCTTTCTTTGAAAGGACATTGAAGAGACGGAGCAATCTAACTGATTGGAAGAGAAGGGAGTTGAAACTTAAGACTGGCTTGCCGGGCCATGTTCACGAAAATTGCTTGGAATAAAAATGCGAAGAGCAGATAAACAAGAGAGGCCAACAGAGAGCCGGGTTACATCAAACACAATGATTCCAACACCAACCGACAACTCAATATTGAAGCGACATTTATCCACATTGAGCTTTCATTCCCCATCCAAATCTAACGATTGCAACGTGCAGCTATGTGAAATAATGGCACCTCAAAGTGCCACTTATAGTCATCCTTGCACTGATAGCAGTCGGATTGAGTATCATCATCCATTTTAATAAAATACCTTTTAACGCAAAACTCCAACAAAATTAACATGACTGGGCAAATGTTCACGCATCATTATTATAATTACAACTACTATTTTTACAAAGCCTTCATAGGCCTGAAATGGCCCTTAGAGTTAACGGTGACGTTATAGATTAAATAAAAAAATTCGTAACCCTAACAATGAACGGAGGTTTATCCAAGCGGCACACTGTGATAAAAGGCACGTCGCTAAGGACACAGAAAAATTAAAACACGCGACATGACGATTAACAACAATAATACATCAGAAGCAGGCTGACCGCAAAAGGGCCAGATCTTGATGCATATATCAAATATGGAGCGGCGTGTGGAACACAGAGGCACGGCGAAACCTCGCGGGACAACGGGGGGTCTTCGGTTGGCGAGCCAAGCGACCCCCTCAGCTCGGTGCCGACGCACGCATTGCCCCATTGGCCTCCAAAACGTGGAGCTGACACCCCGGATGAGCCGGTCGACGTTAGGGCCCGGGGGGAGGGGGGGGGGTTGGGAGCCGAATAATCGTGCCGGCTGCCCCCTCCCCCCCCCAAGCACTCTGGCAACGCCACCCCTGCAGACAGAACCCGACTAGAGGCAGGCCCTCAGGATCCCACGAGCATGGCCAGTCACTTTCGGTCAATTGGGGTCATTATTTTGGCATCATTCGTGGGTGCAGATTACGCGTTTCATGTAACCTAATTACCGCAGCAGTCCAGTCTATTCCACCAGTAATTGGCAAGGGAAGTGTTTCCAACCACGACCGGGAGCAACGGCGCTTCAGGAAGAACACGATAGTGGGGCGCTTTAGCGCGGGATTCGTACTTGAGCGCAACGAGAGCGGGATTGCGTTTTTTTTTGTGAAAGTCAAGTGAAAACACAAAATGACTCTGAACATGTGTTCCACATTTCACTGCCCCTCCAGGGCTGATAAAACTGTGGTCAGTAAGCAAAACGTGCAGAGGCAGAGCCCTGAGAGCCGGGGCTCATGTACATGCGTGTGATTGTACATCGTCAACGCAGATCAGGAGACCACCCTGCATCCGCCAAATGCCCCCCTCTAAAAAATAAAAATTAATAAAAGTAAAATAAAAATAAAATAAAAATCACGACGTTTCGGAGGCAACACAAGCTTCCGTCTTCAGGTGGAACCGTCACAGCACGCTTGCTGTATCAAGTAAATGAGAGATTCTCTCATCAAGTAATGATTTTTATTTTATTTATTTTTTATTTTTATTAATTTAAATTAAAACATTTTACCTACGTGACTTTACCGAAAAAACCTAAGAATATGAATCCTTGCAGTCACGAAAGCTTCAAATCTAGAATTAATGCCCCCTCTAAACTCCCTGAAATCACCTCCAATCTTGCCTCACAGCCCCAAATGATGGAAACTCCTCTATCGCACCTCCCCGGCCCAGCCCAACCACCCGGACCAAAACACACCACTCGCTTGCACATTCGCCCTCTGCGGTCTCATCCTCCAGCGTGATAACATCAACACCATAGCATTGTGGCCACAGTGCTTGGGGAACAGGCCCCTCCTGCACTCTCACACCCGTTCGGCTGACAAGACGGGAGCATCGGTGAGCAGAGCTAGCCCGCGACTCAAGCGTCGTGGATAAGAACAAACTGAAAAGACTCGCCGAATTCGAGTCACGTGAACCCGCGTGTGATGGCGAGCCAAAGGCGAGCGGCGTTCCCTTCGCGGGAGCCTAATCCAGATTAAACCAGGCCGTGAGACATGAAGAACACCCATGGTGGCGGCGAGGCACATGAAAGGGACACAAGCCCTGCAGGCCCGCTGTCAGCAGACGGGTCGGGTACATTCGCCGCAAAAGCGCGCGGGGTGGAGAGAAAGCACGCAGCAGCTCGTCGCCACCGCTGTTGGCGCATGCGAGCGCATCAGCACAAACAGCAATTTGGAAAATTACATATCATTACGCGTTTGCTTGGCTGTTGTGACAGTCCAAAATTAATTATTTTGAGCAACATGACGATTATTGCGAGAAGACGCGGCCCTACCAGTGGGGATTCATTCACGGCGCGTGGCGTTGGCGTGGCAACGGGGGCCCAACCAGCACTCTACCTGGGCCTCACCTGGGTAGAAGTCCTTGGACTTGGAAAGCTTGATGGTGGCTCCGGTCTCCTTCTGCAGCTGTACGATCGTCTGGCCGCCCTTGCCAATAATGGAGCCGGCGGCGTAGCTGGGGATGAGCACCTTCAGGTAGTACTGGCCATCATCTGTGCGGGCACGGGGGTGGGTGGGGTGGGGGACAAGGTGGAGCAATGAGCGCCCGCTGTCACGAGGCGGGCAAACTTCCGATGCTACCACTTGGCATCGGTGCCCTTCGCAGAGACGGACGGCACGCAAGGGAGAGGGGGAGAGCGGCAGATAGATTGTTCAGACACTGCTTTGTTGATTTCTACCAAAGCAGTATAATAATGATGTCTCCTACAACAGCAGTTGCATAATAATACAAATGTAACACTGCAACACGGAGACACAAGAAGAACGCCTGCCACACACGGACCCGCACTCTCACTTTGATCCATGCTGGAACATGGCATTGCTCAGCTTCCGCTGCGCTGAATATTCTCTTCTTGTTGCAGCGTGGCGAGTGTCGTGGCGAGTGTCACGGCGATGCCAAATGCTCGCTCTAAGCTGCTACAGACAGCTCCGTTCCTTCGGGCATCCGTCACCTCTACCCTGTCTCCGTGTCTCGCTGCTGTCTCCGCGGTCCTCTCTCGGTGGCGGTGGAACCCGGCAGAGCTCCCGCGTTAAACGTAATCGAGGGCGAGCGTGAACTATTGCGGCTGTTTGGACATCGGCAAGATGATTAATAATGAAAGAAACCGCCTCTTCAGACGCGGAGAGAAACGCGTGCACTTTAAAGCGCCGAGCCGACGCGCGCGGGTGTCACTCGCGGGGTGCGCGCGCGCGCGCCGAGAGCGGACACCGGAACGCGCCCCATGTGGCGCCGTGTATCGCTATCGTCTCGTAGACGCTTCACCGCCCCGCGACGGCAACGCAAACTCCTCGCACGACGCCCCGGCGGTTGGCGAAGCTCGCCGCGGCTTGCCCCTAGCGCAGAGAGACGAGGGAACGCAAGCACCCGGGAGACTCTCTCGCACGAGCGGAGAGATGCCCGCGCGATGCCTGCCTGCAGGCACTGCGGCGCGACGCGACACCTCGCTCGGCAGAAGGCGGAAGAGTGGACGGATGAGTGGATGATTGAATGCCACGGACGAGGGGACGGATGGAGGAGGAATGGGTGTATGGATTGAAGGAGAGGAGGGGATCGACGGATGGACGGCTAGAACGATGATCGAACGTGCGGAGCGAATGCACGGATCGATGGATGGAGGGTGACCGATGGGAACGAATTGACGTCGGAATAATTGTACAGATTCACGAATCGGTGGACGGATTAAGGTGGACTGGATGGATGGCGAGCGAGCGAGCAAATAAAAAAATGCGGGCCACGCAGGTGCCAGCGAACCCCCTTCCCGATCGTCCACGGTCACACGGAGCGACTGCGCGGACCGCCTGGCCAGCCAGGGGATGAGCGCCGTCGAGTCGCCCCCCCCCCCCCCCCCCCAATTTATCTCGCAGCGCTGCCGCTCGCCGCTTTCCGCACGTGCGCGGGACGTGCCCTGCATACCGTGGGCAGCCGCATCGCCATCACCACCACCGCCGCCGCCGCCGGCATCATCGGCATCATCAGCCACGACATCGCGCGCGCGCGCCCCCAACAGCGCCATCGCGTCCAGCACACACACACAGGGGCACCATCACACGCGGAGCACTGTCATGCATGGCGTATTCCCATCGCACACCAGCTAACAGTCATGCGTGGGGTACCATCACAAATCGAACACCATCGCACGTAAAACATCGTCAAGAGCGGCGTCATCTCACACGCTGGGCACCATCGAACCCATTGAGAGTAAAAGCCTTGTTTTTATTTTTTAAAGGAAGGCTTGGATGCAACCATCGCATCATCACACAGAAAGGCACATCACAAAAAAACCCAGCAGCATCGCACAAAGAGGATCACCACAGTCATCGCCATCACACAACGAGCACCATCACGGCCATTACCATCATAGCCAGCACCATCACACAAAGAGGATCACCACAGCTAGCACCATCACACAGAGATCACCATCACAGCCATCACCATCACAGCCATCACCACCACACAAAGATCAACCATCACAGCCATCACACAAAGAGCATCATCACACAGAGATCCCTATAATAGCCATCACCATCACAGCCATCACCATCACAGAAAGATCACCATCACATAGAGATCACCATCACAGCCATTACCATCATAGCCAGCACCATCACACAAAGAGGATCACCATCACAGCTAGCACCACCACACAAAGATCAACCATCACAACCATCACACAAAGAGCACCATTACACAGAGATCCCCATAACAGCCATCACCATCACAGCCATCACCATCACAGCCAGCACCATCACAGCCAACACCATCACAGCCAGCACCATCACACAAAGAGCACCATCACACAAAGATCACATCACACAAAGATCACCATCACACAGAGATTACCATCACAGCCATTACCATCATAGCCAGCACCATCACACAAAGAGGATCACCATCACAGCCATCACCATCACACAAAGATCAGCATCACAGCCATCACAACCATCACCATCACAGCCAGCACCATCACATCAAGATCAACCATCACAGCTAGCACCACCACACAAAGATCACCATCACAGCCATCACCATCACACAAAGATCAACCATCACAGCTAGCACCACCACAGCCATCACAACCATCACAGCCATCACAACCATCACCATCACAGCCAGCATCATCACACAAAGATCAACCATCAAAGCTAGCACCACCACAGCCATCACAGCTAGCACCACCACACAAAGATCACCATCACAGCCATCACCATCACACAAAGATCACCATCACAGCCAGCACCATCACACAAAGATCAACCATCACAGCCAGCACCATCACAGCCATCACAGCTAGTACCACCACACAAAGATCACCATCACAGCCATCACCTTCACAGCCAGCAGCATCACCATCACATCCATCACAACCAGCACCATCACAAAGAGCACCATCACATCCATCACAGCCAGCACCGTCACACAAAGATCAACCATCACAGCCACCACTATCATAGCCAGCACCATCACAGCCATCACCATCACACAAAGAGCGCAATCACCATCACAGCTAGCACCATCACAGCCATCACCGTCACACAACCATCACCACCACAGCCATCATCATCGCAGCCATCACAGCCAGCACCATCACAGCCATCACCACCACACAAAGATCACCATCACAGCCAGCACCACCACACAACCACCACCATCACAGCCAGTCACCATCGCAGCCAGCACCGTCACACAAAGCCGCGCGTCACACCTCGGTCCCATGACAGGCGGACAATCGCAGTGGCTCGCAGCCCCCCGCAATGATCATCACATCGCGCGCGGTGACCAGAGAAAAAAACCACCGACGACGAGGTGCGAGAAATATGAGCGCTAAAGAGTCGCCCAGGGAACATCCCTCCGGGATGCGGCGCTTCGGTTGCGATTCGGAACGTCGCGCGAAGAGGGGGTGCCCACAGACACACACAGTCACACACAGACACACAGACACACACACACAGACACACACAGTCACACGCACACACAGACACACACAGACACACACAGACAGACACACACAGACACAGACAGACACACACAGTCACACACACACAGACACACACAGTCACACACACACAGACACACACGGTCACACACAGACACAGTCACACACACAAACACACACACACAGACACACACAAACACACACACACAGTCACACACAGACACACAGACACACACACACAGACACACACAGTCACACGCACACACAGACACACACAGACACACACAGACAGACACACACAGACACAGACAGACACACACAGTCACACACACACAGACACACACGGTCACACACAGACACAGTCACACACACAAACACACACAGACACACACAGTCACACACACAGACACACACACAGACACACACAGTCACACACCGCCACACGAGGATGGAGCATTGACTGCGTTCCCTCCCGAGGCTCGACGTGAAACGGTTCTCAAAGCGAGGGGGGGTAACAAACCAGTGTAGGCATCTCCACCTCTACGACACCCAACCCGCCTCTCTTGTGGACCTCCATCGCCCGCCGGCACCATCGAATTCACTTCCATCATCCACCACGCGACTCGCCGCCACCCCTATACCCTCTCGCTCGTCCCTCGTCACCTCCCACGACCCAACAACTTACAACGAACACGCGCCCCCCCCCCCCCCCTGGACACACACGGACACACAGGGGCAGAGTGCGGTTGGCGCAATGAATGAGATCGGGGGGGGGGGCCCTGTCCAAATTCCCACTCCCTACGTAGCTCGCCCGCCTGGGCCCCCGCCGCACAGCTCGTGGGCCCTTCCCGGAGCTGCGACAGCCGGAAAAGTGGACTCATCACGCCGCTACACCACCACCACCACCACCAAGCCCCCACACCACACGCAACCAACACACCTCAACCTATCAACCTCCGACCAAAGCCCGTCGTTCACCCACCAATCTCCGCCTATCGCCTTCACGGCCACTGCAACCTGTCACCTGCCATCATTCGTCCCCAAGGCACCCACCTCCCCTACCTACCTATACGCGAGTCATCGCCCATGCACGCGTAACAGCAGCAGCAGCAACAACAACACGCGCAACCTTAGACACGGACGTCAAAAGCCCCCCCCCCCACCCCCGTATGACCCTGCCTGTGGCTCCAAGAAGTGGGGGGGCTGGGGACAGACGCCGGGTAGACGGAGTTGCGTATCCCCGTTCGGGGGGGGGGGGCGGGGGGGGGGGTCGGCACGGCGCGCACTCACCGCCACTGGTGTTCGAACGCTTGGTGCTGCCCGCCTCCATGGGCGCTTCCAGGGGCCGCTTGCGCGAATCCGAGGGCTCGTACTCAAGTTGCGCGGCAGCCGCGTGCATGCCGTTCTGCTGCTGGTGCTGCTGCTGCTGCTGGTGCTGCGGACTGTGCACTGAAGCCATTGCCGCGCTGCTTGGCTGTGAGAGTGTCGCCGCGCCGTGCTCGCTACTTCTCATTCTGCCGACTCTCCCTCGATCCCCTCCTCCCCTCCTTTCCCTCCTCCTCCTCCTTCCCTGCGCGCGTCTCCCTCCCTCTCGCTCCCTCTCTAACCCCCCTTTTTCTCTGTCTCGCTGCTCCCTCCCTCCCCCTCTCTCTCTCTCGCGTCGCTCCCTCCCCTTTCTCTCTATCCCTTTCCCCTGCGTGTGGCTCCGTCGCCCGGCCTCTTCTTCAGCGGGTGTCTCTGTGCGGGGCTGTGCCGCTTTGCTCGCTCCTGTCCCTGTTGTTTGCTGGCGACGCTCTCCCCGAGTTCTGCTCGCTCACAATCGCTGGGCTTGCCCTCCCTGGCTTGTTCTTACCCCCCCACCCCTACTCTCTTATCCCCCCCCCTACTCGCTTACCACCCCCCCCCCTACTCGCTTACAACCCCCCCCCCTACTCTCTTACACCCCCCCTACTCTCTTACCCCCCCTACTCTCTTACACCCCCCCCTACTCTCTTACACCCCCCTACTCTCTTACCCCCCCCTACTCTCTTACCCCCCCCTACTCTCTTACCCCCCCCCCTACTCTCTTACCCCCCCCCCCCTACTCTCTTACCCCCCCCCCCCCCTACTCTCTTACCCCCCCCCCTACTCTCTTACACCCCCTACTCTCTTACACCCCCCCCACTCTCTTACCCCCCCCCCCTACTCTCTCTCGCTCCTCGCCTCGGTTGCTGCACTGGGAACGGCGCGCCCCTCCCCCCCACGTACACTCGACATACACACAAAGGGCACACGCGTGTACACACAACGGGAACATGCATGTGCACGCACACACACACACATACAAGTTAGGCCTGCACGCATACACACACACGAGACGACTCTCTGCACGGTTACAACCACAGTCGGCTTCCCAACAATGTGGTACAGATTTTATCGACCCGTGATGAATGATGGACTGATTTGACCTCCTGTCTGCGTTTCGACTCACGGCCTTCCAATTGCGAGTGAGGTACCTTGCCAGTGCCGCGCCGCCTGGACAATGATGCACGCACACATGAACAAAGACAAAGATCCCCCGTATAGACGTACCACTGTTGGGGCAGGTGCTGTTAGCGAGCACCTATTAGATGCCAGCATGGCACACAATGGTATGGTTAGCACCACCCTCGTCCGTACCGATGTCACACACCGCCACAGCGTACTCGTTTGAGGCCTGAGTCGACATAGGGGACGGCCCAGCGGCGGTTCAGAGAATCACTCGCCACATCTGATGTCAGCCGTGGCCGGGAATCCAACTCATGTTGGCCGAGTTGATAGCGCAGCACGCTAACCACTCCGCCACCGTTCTCCACATATACCCATCCACAGCCGACGTATACGC